TATATTTATGTTTGTGGTTGTAATGTGACAAAATATGGAAAAGTTCAAGGGGTATGAATACTTTTGCAAACCACTGTAATATTGGGTTTGAGATTGAGGTTAGATTTAGTTTGGGGTTGAGGTTAGTTTGGGTTTGGGGTTGAGTTTAGTTTGGGGTTGAGGCTAGGTTGGTTTTGGGGTTGAGGTTAGGTTGGGTTTGGGGTTGAGGTTAGGTTAGATTATATTAGGTTGGGGTTAGATTAGGGTTAGGCTAGGGTTAAGTTTAGCACACATAGGCATCAACATCATAACATCTTTCATGTGATCTTATTTTGTTTACCATTTCTCACATGATAAAATCGTAGATTCACAGAAAAAAACATTGAGATGATCCAGCTGCAGCAAAAAAAAAAAGGTATTTCCATGTGAAAGCAGGGAGAAGAAACCAACAAGCCGTTTTCTGAGGTGTTGTTTTCCCCCTCTCGTTCATTATCGCCCTCACGTCTGCTCTGCCAKGTGGCTGGGTATGTGTGAATACAGGTGTGCCTCTGCCGTTACAGGACTTGTTCRCCGCCGGTAAGGGCAAGTTTGGCACAGATGAGGAAAAATTCATCAAAATTCTTGGCAACAGGAGCGTGGAGCATCTCAGGAAAGGTGAGGCTACTGAAGCCACGGTGTAATAATGCTGGAATGATGCAGGYAGGGGCTGAGCTTCCTGTTCATGAACAAACAAACAAACAAAAATGAAAACCATTAAAACTCTGAGCTACAGAGCGTAGGACAGAAAACACAGACACCAGGTGAAAGCGTYGAGGCTTTAATAAGGTGAGATGAATCAGACACACGCTCAGCAGCTGTCCTCTGAGCCCAGAGACGGGTCAGAGTCAGAACTTGTTCAGACTAGTAAACAGGTCCATCTGAACACACAAGGCTATAAAAGTTTAAAATGGACATCTCTAACAGCAGAAAAACAAATATGCTGTGTAAAAGTAAAGAAAGATACTTCTAAAATGTGCTTTTTCACATAAAAGTAAATACAAGAAAAACATTCTAAATACCCTTAAAGGACAATTCCAGAAATATTTGGGTTGTTGTGCTTTTTTGTCCCAATTTTTTCCCCATTTCTTGCAGTATTTGATGCCTACAAGAAGCTCTCTGGCGTTGATATAGAAGAGGACATTAAAAGCGAGACCACTGGAAATTTGGAGACTTTGCTACTAGCTGTTGGTAAGACCCTCACTTTGAAAAGGAGACCACCACCTGCAGTTACAATAAACCTGTCTCCCTCTCCCTCTCTACTGTCATGCATGTTTGAACATACTCCAGTGAGGAGAAAAAGCTTTAAATCAATGTCAAACCTGGTGTTAAACGAAGCTTCAGTCTCCTGCTTGTCTTCTCTCTCATCCACAGTGAAATGTGTCAGGAACGTCCCGGCCTATTTCGCCGAGAGCCTCTATAAATCCATGAGGGTAGGTGTCATTTTTCCACCCACTCAATGAAACGAACTGTACTGCTGTCATTGGATGCAACTAAAAGTTATTAACAACAAACTAAATGGCCAGCAGCACGAAGAGGAGAAACCGAGGAAACAGTTCCTGCCTGTCAGCCTTCTCATTTATCTCATGGCAGCAAAATAAATAAATAAATAAATAAATAAATAAATAAATAAATAAATAAATAAATAAATATTTAACTATTATTTATTTAAAGGCACAATCTGTGTGCAGTGTTTACTATACTTTATGTTACGAGGAAACCTTAAAAAGTGTGTAAAATATACTGCTTTTAGATCTGCAAGTTAAATATTTAAGACACAAAAAGGATAGCTTGTTAATAGTGTTACTATATAGTAATAGTACATATAGTTTATAGTATTACTATATAGTACTAGTATAGAAAGAAGCTCTTCAGCATTAAAAACATCTTTACCTAAGTTACCCAGTAAATACAAACTGGGAAAATCAAGTATACTGACCAGGTACTGGGTACTTACATGTTAATAACTGGACACAAACCTGCTATGTACCTAGTATTTATCCTGTACATACTAAGTACTGACCTGTTGTTTACTGATACTAACCAACTACGTACCTGGCATTTACCTGGTACTTATCAGGTATGTACTAAGTACTTATGTGTTACTTATATTAACCAACTATGTACCCAGTATTTACCTGGTACTTATCTTGTACATACTAAGTAGTGACCTGTTGTATACTGGTACTAACCAGCTACTTACCCAGTATTTACCTGGTACTTATTAGGTACATCCTGGGTACTTACCTGTTAAACACTTGTACTAACCAGCTATGTACCTGTTATTTACCTGGTATTTATTAGGTACATACTGGGTACTTACCTGTTTATATACTGGCACTAACCAACCATGTTTACCTGGTACTTATTAGGTACATACTCAGTACTTATCTGTTATATACTGGTACTAACCAGCTCTGTACCTGTTATTTACCTGGTACCTATCATGTATATACTAAGTACTTACATGTTATATACTAGTACTAACCAGCTATGTACCTGGTATTTACCTGGTACTTATTAGGTACATACTCAGTACTTATCTGTTATATACTGGTACTAACCAGCTCTGTACCTGTTATTTACCTGGTACCTATCATGTATATACTAAGTACTTACATGTTATATACTAGTACCAACCAGCTATGTACCTGGTATTTACCTGGTACTTATTAGGTACATACTAAGTACTGACGTGTTATATAGTGGTACTAATCAACTGTGTACCTGTTATTTACCTGGTATTTATTAGGTACGTACTGGGCACTTACCTGTTTGTATACTGGTACTAACAACCATGTTTACCTGGTACTTATTAGGTACATACTAAGTACTTATCTGTTATACTGGTACTAACCTGCTATGCACCTGGTGGTATCTTATATTTACCAGGTACATACGAGTACTTGCCTGTTATACACTGGTACTAACCATGTATCTACAACAACTCTTAAGTAAATGAGTTACTACATATAATTTCCCTTTGGGATAAATAAAGTACTTTTTAATTGAATTGAATTGAATTGAATATGTACCATTACCTGGTACATACTGAGTACTGTTTTACTTTGGTAATAATCATATGTTTGACTCTCTGATTGTGGTATTAATACTGTAAATATTAATCTTTAGCGAGCTGGAACTGATGATAAAACCCTGACGAGGATAATGGTGTCGAGGAGCGAGGTGGACATGTTGGACATCAGAGCCAACTTCAGGAAACTGTATGGACAACCTCTTTATACCACCATCCAGGTATGAACCAAGCTTCTTCATGATTCTCAATTAGTTTTAATTAAACTAAACAGTTTAATCTTTAGGGAAAGATAGTTGTAAAACTGATGTCCTGACGGTGTTGTGCTTCGTGTCGTCCGTCCCTCTGCATGAAACCACAGGCTGCACGTGCTGAGGATGTGCTGCTAATGTCAGTGCAGTGATGAAGAGGGGATTGGTAATTTACTTTAAATGTCTTGTTCAGCGTGATGAGACTGCTTTCCTGCTTCTCACACCAAGTGAATTAATCCATTCTCCCAGGGCCAGATGTTCCTACAGAGGAGAATTATTGCCTTCCTCTGGTGGAATTCACCAAAGCTGAATAGATAAATAGAACATAATGGAAATAACATCTAAATAAATGAATAAAAACTATGTTTTTTTTTAGATACAATCAGTTTAAACGATCATTTACATTTTTAACCTTTTTATCATCTGCATTTTCTAATCGTCAATCTTTTACAAGAATAAATAGCTCTCACAGCTGGTTTTTCATAAATAACCTTTTTTTAAGAACTAAGACTCCTAATTATAGCTGATGGTTTTAGTCAGAACACTCCCAGTCCAATTAATTTGTTTCTATCTTTCAAGTTCTGCTTATAGTTTGAGTTCCTTTTGTTGTTTTGATATAAAATTTAAATGTTTTTCCCCCCAGATTTAACATAATTTTTAATATGAGCAGATTTGCAACCAGTTTGTAAAAAATGATTGGCAATAAATAAAGCAATACATATACTTTACCTGTACAGGCACCATGTATGTATTAGGTAAGCATAAGTTAGACACCTCTTTGTACATACTGTATATTATTTGTTTTTTGGGGAGCCGAAGGTTTTGGTATGAAACTGACAGAAAACATAAAAATCTGCAGTGATTATGGTGACAGTAATAATTAATGAGGTCATTGAATGTAACAAACAGATGTTTCCATTTGTAGACAGCCAGAAACCCTTCATCTCCTTGGAACTCTTGTTTCTTGTGTTGATTAATTCACCTGAACGCCTCGAACTCCAGCTTCAACACAACWTCTGCTGATCAGTGAAGTGCAAATCTGTGAGAACAGTTTGTTAAAGGGATCCACGATTAGTTGTAACATTAGACTTTATTTGATAATCACATTTTAACTGTAAAAGACTGTAAAAATACTGTAGGCTGTTTAGTTTAGGAAATTTTTTAAGATGTATTTTAACACAGACGGAGCCGTTTTATTTACACACAAAGCATTCTGGGTACATGATGACGTGGATAGGTCCTCAGTGCGAGGCTGCTAGCGAGCTATATCCACCCTGAAGGTTAATCTTGGACAATATCTGATGATCGACTCTTTTAAATGAAACCAGAGAGCGTTGACAGAGAGGAGAAGGTAGAAATGACTCAGCCTGKAACTGAAAATATGGATGGAGGACAACAGAGCTGCTTCATGGAAGAAGAACCTCAGATTAGCCTGTTAGCCTTTGCGCTAGCATCGATGCTATATTGCCTTATATATATTAGCTCGGTGCTAGCGCAACAAACTAACAAGCTAAACGGAGGTCCTCCATCCATATTTTCAGTTACAGGCTGAGTCATTTTTGTGTTCCCCTCTCTGTCCTGTGGATGGAGGGCCTCAGTKATGAGAGGAGAATGTGTAGCGCTGAGCTAATACATATATATGGTGATAGCATCAGGGCTAACGCTAAAGCTAACATGCCAACAGTAAGCTTGTTGGCTGCAGTCGTTCAGAGACTCAGGTGTTGAAGGGTTGTGTCCCCTCCACATGACTTAAGTGGGATTTAGTGAGATGCTGAAGTTCCTCCTCGTAAATGTGCGTTAACGAGTTTAAAGACAAACGGGTTTTACGGCACTTTATAAACCCTTCTAACGCAGGTTTCAAAGCCTGACTGTTTAAATGTCAGGAGCTTTTGCAAAAGCTCAGGGGACCCGTGATCGTCTGAGGGGCCATGGACACGTTTGTTCCAAGAAAAAGGACACACGAGCCATTTGTCTGCGCGTTGCTGAGGGGTGAATTGTGTGGAGAGGAGGGGGCATGGTGACATTCAGGGGTCATTTTACAGAAAGGAAACAATGGGGGATTTCTGATGTAAACATTAAAACGCCTTTCATTTTGAGCATTGTGATTGTAAAGGTTAAGCTTTGTTTTTTTTTTGTTTTTTTTTGGTGTTTTTCAGGAGGACACAGACGGAGACTACCAGAAGGCGTTGCTGTACCTCTGCGGCGGGAAAGATTAATCATGTTTATGATGTGTTCAGCAGCGCTGAGTGATGAGCTGCTGCGAGACGAATCTATACGCCAGAGACGGCGAATATCGATCTTCTTCTTCTGACTTTAACACGATATCGATTGAATTAATGTGAACTACCTGGATGTCATTTTGACTCATATCTGCAGTGTGAAGAATAAATTAAACAAAATCTTTGCTTGCTTTTACTAAGGAGCTGCTTCTTGAACATAGAGAGCAGGTTATTTTTTTGCAAATTCAGAAAGGATTTTTTTAAAGTGGCTCTGGTTTTGTTGACCTTACAAAGTTGGCAGTTGTTTACTTCATATGTGCTCTGTGTGTGTGTTAAACCAGCCAGCAGAACACAATCCTGCTCTTCAATTATTCAGTCTACGTGTCAACAACGCTGCTGCTTTCATTAATTACAAACGAGACRCTGATCCAGGGTAGAATAGCAGAAGCTGGTGTCAGTAATTAATAAGTAATAGGAGGATATTAGACATGGGCTGTTTCATATTAGGATCTTTTTGTTGTTGTTGAGGAAGCAAGTGTTAAATAATTGATTTGATTTATTGATTTAACAGTAAAGATTACTAAAAATCAAGCCTGACTCAGCATAATTGCTGTTTTACAGCAGGTTCCTGTTCTGCAGCACATAAAACACTCAGAATTACAGCATCAC